CCAGTTTTGTAGACATTGAAAAAAGAAATCAAGCTAATCCAATGAAGCCTAGTTGATCCCACATTGAAGTCAGAAATAGTACGAGTTGGATTAATCAGTGTAAGGAAAATCCACTAAAGATCCATCTCGAATTGCAAGTATGAATTTACATTTGAACTGTTCAGGGATGCTGAATGTGGAAATGTACTGCATTTACTACAACCCCAAAAAGATCCATAATCAAATGTGCTATGGAAATGTGCTCTTTAAGTTGATTACATTTCAGTATATCAAGAAATTCTTCATCCCCTGCACTCACAGTGCTCTTAGCAAGGGTAGAAACACTTACAACAAAATACAGTTCACAAATCAAAGCAACCTTGAACACGACATGAAAGAAATGGGAGGAGAAAGAAAAACAGGAAGATGTGCAGGGACATGCTCCCAAACACACAGGCCATAACAGCTCTTACACACACACTGCTTGATACACACAATTCAGCCATTCTGAGCACACATCACAGGCTCTTTTCAAATGCATGGAGTGTGGGTGTATGGAGCTCACATAGAAACAAAAAGTTAAGGTCATGAGCACACACACACAAACACATCTAGCAGGGTGGCTGGAGACTGAAATGCGACCTTACAGATGCACATGTACACATCTTTACACTCACAATAAAGACATTTCTCTGGTCTGATAAATGCGCAAGTTATGTGAGGTCACTGATAAATCTATGTCACAGCTGACAGACTGACAAATGTTAGTGAGTGGCCATTACAACTATATATAGATTAAAACAGTTGTTCTTTCAAAAATTAAATTTTTAAAATAAAATATAATGTATATTTTTAGCAATGATGGTCTATGCTATAAAAAAAAAAACATGCACATTGTGTGAGTGGTTCAATTAGCCATGTCAGCTGGCATAACCAAAACTGAAAAATAGCAAGTTTGAAAAAGCTTTCATAAGACATTGAATACATTAAAACAGCCTTTAATCATTGCATACTGCTATGGCTAAAATCACAATGTCAATTAATGCAGTATATGATTAATCATGCAGCCTGAGGCTCTGCTGTCATTACTGTGCTCCCATTTAGAGAGAGAGAGAGAGAGAGAGAGAGAGAGAGATCAATGTAATAGGCTCTTTCGTTGCTTGGGTTTGGCTCTACACTTGAATGGACCGCAACTACAGAAAGGTGAGTGTTTCCATGGCAACTAGCCGACAGGTACAATTTTAGCCCACCAAAAAAGAGCACAGCCCATAATGATCTACGGCACAGGAAATAATCACATTTAGTGAAGATGAAAAAAAGAACATTTGATAAATCTATCCAGTTTTTTGCTGTCATTCAGATAGTAAATTGTTATCAAGCAGTAAATCTGTTTGGTAGTGCAGTGCACTTGCATTAAGGAGGGAAGCAGCGGTTCAAATCAATAAACAGTTGAAAACTGACCTTAAACAAGAAGAGGAGTGAAGGGGCACAGGATAGTAACCACCTTATATTCACATTAGTGGCTCAACAATGTGATTTTCATTCATTCTTTCATTAATTTCCCAAACTAAATATTTAATATTTTGTTAACTAAAATATTTGTTTGAGGTCAGAGACAGACATAAAAGAAAGACAGCAATTACAGCATCAGTAGTATTTTTTTTTTAACTTTCTTAGGTAATTAAAACTTCAATTCTAATTCAGTTCTTCAATTATCATTCATTGAATGGGGACAGAATGAAAGAATGAATGTTTGTTGCACATAAAATAATACAAGTAAAAAAATTTAAAAAAAAGGGCAAATGAAAGCAGCAATATGATATTACAGTTTGATAAGATATTCAAATTAGTATTTTTTACTGAATACAAGCAGTTTACCTCAAATGTAACCGTTTCCTCGTCCCCTCTAAACATGTGCTTTAAAACACATTTTACGCATAAAAGATGGCCTACTCTAATATTTTTTATTAAACCAGACAAACAAAGGTAACTGTTTATGAAAAACAGAAACAAAATATAGCCATAATTCCAAAACTATTCATACAGTATATGTAATTTCATAAAACATAACAATGGACATCACCATCAAATGTCAACTGAACACTGTGTTCAAAACCAGCTCAAATCCAAAGTCTAAAGAATAGATAGATTTACTTACATTGAATTGTGATTAAACCCAGCTCCATCAATCCATTCTCATGCCACTACCGAATGCAAGCACATTTCTGTGTTTCCGATCTGAATTTGCGTTTCGCTACATGGACTGTTAAGGGGAATTCTGTGGGATCTCTGGCTTCCGCGCTGCGTGCCAGAGAGGGAAGTTCCCATGGGATAACTGATAACACACCTCCTCACTCACACGCCCCATTTAAACAGATAGCGCTCACTTTCCCACATCAAGCTCAATAACATTTTAACTTTCCAGTATCACATCCCATGCCTCTTTCATTGAGCATAGTTTCACTTTTCCTGATTAAATCTTTTATTAAGCATGCTTATTTGTATTTTCCCAAATTATGTAGTCAATTAATGGACTAAAGCATAAGAATTATTAGCTATATACATAATATGTAAACAAATACATGAGGTAATGATCTATTAATAGGAAAAATACTGTATATGAAGGCAAAATATGCATATACCTGTTTTTTTGTTTGTTTTTTTAAAACATTGAGATTAGACATTCTAGACATATGTAACAGAAAACAGGAAGTCTGCAGGGTCCATGACATAAAACATTCCCTGATCTATTATTGTGTGCCTAGCAAGAACGGACATTAACATCAAGACAAAATAATGTTTGAAGGAGTCAAAAGGTCATTCAGACATTCACTATGGGGGGGGCAAACACACTTACACACACGCAGATTAACTGACACTAGTTAGATATTTTAGAATATCATATTCATAACTGGCAGGTGTTTCAGATCTTTTTAAGCCAAGGAGCCTTTTTTTGGATAGAGAACAGAGCAGAGCAAGGAAAGATTTACATTATGATGCAATTCCATTAATTTTACTTGATAGAGACAGCTGATTTTTTTTTTTTTTTTTTTTTTTTTTTCATTGGGTTAATTTTAAAAGAAATTTAAAATGGTTGAAATTAACTTAATATTAAATGCTTAATTTTTGTTCAACGTATATTTTGGAATTTTTCACAATTATTTTGAGACCAAACAATACTTGGCGGATCCCCTGCAGTACCACCACTGACCCCCATTTCACACCCCTGCAACAGAACCAACATTTCCATCAGGATTTTGAATGTCGTGAAAAACAGACCTCTCCACCATTTCATTTTTAGTCCATTCTGTGCATAAAGTAAGAGAGGGAGGATATGATTTAGCTTTCATGCAAAGGCTTTACACACAATCTCCTGCCCTCGCACACGGGCCAAATGGACAATTTCACAGTTATATCATGGCAGAGAAACACATAGGCGATGGATGCCAGCACCTCCATATGCATATACAAAAGGAAATAAAGATGCAGTTGGTGCCAGGATGGAAAACAGAGAGTGAAGGATGCTGGGAAAATTCAACACAATGACAGACTGAGGGAAGACTTGTCATTCTCAAGAGAAATGGGCTAAATGTGCTAAACAACAAACAAATTAGCCTTGGCCTGAACGAATCCTGAATACACACAACGCCTTTGTCTTATCACAAGCAAACATTTGAGCCCTTGGTGTTTACTGGGCATCTGGTTAAAGGCTAACCAAAGGTTGTTCTAGACTGGCCACTTCCTTGTTTTAAACCACATAAACACACACACACACACGCTCAGTGACTTGCCAAGCTAAAATAGATTATGAAACATAAATCTATGACCCTGGTCTTCATTTTTGCTTTGAACAACTACACATATTGGGAAATCCTCTTCGAAGCTCATTTACATATAGAATAACTACACAGAGAATCACTTAACTGATTACAGTCATCTCATTTTTTTACATTTTGCTATGCTAATATAATTTTAAAATAACACAACAAGACTGCAGAGTGAAGAAGCTATGATATGAATAGATGGGTTTAAATGAAAGTGCTTGTCATTGTTTTCTCATGTGAATCATTCATGTGTGTGGATGTGTAAATGTGTTAACGTTCAGTGTCAAATTCATGTAAAAAAAAAAATTGCACACTTAAGCGATTTGTTTCTTTTTCTGAAACACTTTTCTCTGAAATACTTTTTCTATGAATGAAAACAAAGCACATGCACAAACATGCAACCTTGGAAAGGAAACATTCCAGACAAGTTCTTTCATGCCCATGAAAACATAAAAAGTAGAACATAAAAAAGAAGAAAGAGAGAGAGAGAGAGAGAAGCAGGACGTGATGAGGTTGAAGCATGAAGTCCTCAGTGACCTTCAACAAAAACAGGACTTATAGAAAGAACAGACATGACAAAGAGGTATGAAAACATAAAAAGTAGAACATAAAAAAGAAGAAAGAGAGAGAGAGAGAGAGAAGCAGGACGTGATGAGGTTAAAGCATGAAGTCCTCAGTGACCTTCAACAAAAACAGGACTTATAGAAAGAACAGACATGACAAAGAGGTGGATTTTTTTCATCCATCATGCTTTTTAATATGAAGACAGGAGACTGACTTCTGTAGAAGCTTATATATTTATATACTTGGCTTGTGACGGCCATCAGCTAATACAGACAGTGGGCACAGTGTCCATTCATTTACTGTCTTTGACACCAAGATGCTTTGATGAACTACAGCATAGGATATGAAGACAAAACAGTCATAACAGTCAAAACAGTCAATTAACTTGGGCTTAGGACAATAATGCTGCTGCACTGTTAAACTAAATCCATTACAGCGGTCACAAATAAAATAAAAATGGAATGAAAAGTGTTGATTGCAGCATTAAATTTAGAACTTTTCATGTTGCATCAGCATTCTTTTTATGCGTTTTTACAGTGTTGCGCATTATAACCAATCACACACAATTCTGTTGAGCTTATGAATGCAACGGCCAATCAGAGGCGTTCTGATTAGTCATTGCTGATCCACCAGAGTTTTGTTCAGTGTGCGCGCTTGCTGACTGAATTCTGCACTCTCCCGAATTATCGTAATTATTCGGTAATTATACCGAATTATCCAGATGTACATACATTATTTGTTATGTCAATAAAACATATTAAACTGAAACTGATTATGAGATGAAAATAGTTATAATTGTACAGCACGCTTTATTTCTCTGCATTTGTCTCTACTCTCTCCTTTATGTGTGCAATTTAAGAATTACATAACCGCAGTTGGCCACCCTGTCCAAGCCAGGCCATTAACTATGCCGTCCGTTCATCTATCCATCTCTCACTCCTCCTCCCTTTTCCATCCACCCATCACTCTATCTAGCAGCCTGGAAAAGCCGCTTACACACACTAGACCAAAGGAGAAAATAACATGAGAACACACACACACACACACACACACACACACACACACGCGCGCCGGGGCAGACCGAAAATCTACATACAGGCCATTATAAGCAAACACATCTATTCCCAGAGGTGCAAGTGATTGGATTATTGATGAATTTGAGTAAATATTCCACTGAAAGCTGGCCGTTTGTGGCGTGGCTTCCTGTAACAGCTTTGGATCTCAGACAGTGGGTCCAAAAATGGGTCACAGGTCTGTTCACAGAAAACAGGGGAAAACAATAAAGCTAAATGCAAATAATAAAGTGCAACTAACCATATAATTGTGTATAGTTAAGGCAACAAAATAAATAAATATATACACATTTAAAAGAGAGGAGAAACACTTCCCATTTCGGTTGTTGTTAATATTTTGGCACAAAATATTAATCTGTCACTTGGTAGACACTAGCCAAATTACACATATGCCAGCATAGACAGATTGTGACACATGCCCTCATCCCCGAAAACCATGAAGAAAAGTATGCAAGGTAAAAAAAAAAAAAAGACAAAAGACTACACTGAATATAAGTTAGCTTGCAGCAACAAGGCTTGTGCCAACCACAATTTGTTTTGTGCTTTGAATTACTGGCTGTCGAGCATGGAAGCCTGTTTTTGCCTTAGCAAAAAAAAAAAAAAAAAACATTAAATGTGTATTTCGCAAAGTTTGCAATAAGATAGTCACGTTGTTTTTATTATGATTAAAAACTGTTTTTTTATTGGATTAATTTCCTATTCAGTCTGTCTAATGTTAATAATTGTGAATATTGTTGTTCCTGTGCTGTTCACACAGTAGTATTATTAAATGTCATGTTTATCTTTTAAGAAGAGAAGGTACAGTTTTGGGTCACCACTTGATGTCCATTGTCAAATCTGGGTCTCAGCAACACCATTGGAGAGGCAGCACAGCTGTAGAGAAAAGCTCTCAACTCAGCACACACATATTTTATTCATGTTGCCACTTAAAGGGACAAGACGCAATGTGAAGGGACTATGACAATCTGCCAGTTACTGTCAGCACAACACAAGTATACAGCGGCAAATGTGTTTCTTGTACTGTACCTATGGAAAAGCTGCACTGAATACACTGAAATAAGAGCGGTTTTGTGGCAGCGCTGCCGTCATGTGTAGAGATCTGACTCACCTCAGACTCCAGCTGGACAGTTAATAAGATGACTATTCATTGTTTTAACTAGCAGACATTTCAGGGAAAAAAAATCTGTGGTTTCTTAAAGAGAGAGAGAGAAAAAATTTAGGAAATTGTAAAAATAATAAAAACCGTCTGCATCCTGAATGACTTTAAACTGTGCATTTCTCATCTTTGTTCCCTGGACTTGGTTTGTCTGTCCTTGCCACATTCGTTCCTGCCTGGTAGGACAGGAATAACAGCTTTACAATGTCTTGATAAGATTCCTCCATATTTATCTTGATGCGTAACACTTACAAATATGGTAACATTCCATTCCGAGTGTGTCCTACATGCACCAGAGATCAGAGAAAATAAACAGGCTTCCTATGCCAGCAACTAACACAGAGCCCTTCTGTTCATTGAAAGTTTATGTCTTTGTTCTGATCCGAATGTCTCGGAAGCATTCACCTCTGAGACATCTTTACCCAGACACTCTGGTCAGGTTGAGCATTCAGAGGTGACCCTCTACTGAGGAGAAGATTCCCTACCACCCTCCTTATGTTCCAGGAGAGCAGAGCAATAGACATGCCTCAGCGGCGCACAACAAATCAATAGATGAGAGAGATTGGTCATGACAGTGCAATTAGAGAGTGACTGAGAGAAAACCAGGCAGGGGGAAAGAGAGATGGGCTTGATTTGCAGAGTCTATTGCAAGTTTCGAAAACATTTTTGCACGCTACATTGTTTTTTCTTGTCTTTTTTTATCCTCCAATCAAATCCGTTATCCGTCTTTAATTTTCTGTTCCAGCACAGCTGAAGAGACGTCGAACAACAGCTGGTACTGAGGAGACACTCTCCTCTCATTTCTCCCTCTTTTTTCACACCATCTCTCATTCGCGCTCTACTCAGTTTAGAGGTGTTTGTCAAATAAATAAAATTGACTTTCCTTACACACTCTGTGCTATAATACAAGAGCTTTCACTTTTTCCATTTGTGTACATGTTGCATAAACAATCTGATTTCTTCTGCGTTTCTTTTTTATTTAATTTAACCATGTGTTTATCATACAATTGAAGTAGAACTGTACACAAAATAATGTATTCATAAATTGTGGTAAATATATAAACATTTATAATATCATATCATATCATATGAAATACATTAAATGTTATGCAAAATGTACATAACCTAGCTTAATTGAAATCAAAAACATTATTCAATATGACTGAATGTAAACAGTAAAATGTTTACATTCACAAAATGTGGGAAATCAGAATATAATAGAATAATAAAAACTAGTTTAATTGAAGTAAAAATGTTAATATGACTGAATCATCTCAATGTTTGACCAATGAACGACCAGGGCTTTTCCATGACCTTTCCTGTCATTTGCGATTACTGAAAAAGGATGTTCAAAAATGATTTTGATTGAGATAAATTCATTGGAAAGAACTGAGCCGTGTGAAATGTGATTCACTCAAAAAACAGACATGCAAGAAAGATTTCTGACTTAACCAATTCCCCTAGAATAAATAGAAAATGCAACTTTAAAAATCCCTGATATTAGGTAGGTTTTCTATGACCACAGGACATTCATTTAGGTTCCACCAATGGCAGTAATTTTAAGGGTCAGATCAGGCAGAAAAAGCTCCTTGGTGAAACAACACCACCACCCCTTCACTTTCTCCAGATAATGAAGCGTCGATATAACTCACTTGCATGGTATGCAGAAGTAATCAATCATTAATCAATCTTTAAATCTATAAATCCAGGGAGGGAGATTAGATAGTGTGAGACACGGTGAGCCTCAGTGTTATGAATGCGAGCAGCTGTTCAACTGAAATATAATTACAGACACACACATACACAAGCCGACAGGTTGAGAAGTTCATAACCTCAAGTCATCAAAAAAACAAAAACAAAACAACCACAAGTGACAGGCAGCCTGCGATGAACAGGCGTCATCCTCAACGAATCATTTTAATTACCACAAGAATGACACGCCCTCATTCTCATACAGAATAAACTTTCAATTGAAGTTTAATTTAATCAGATGCAGCCATTGAAAAATCTTAATGCAGATGTGCTGCTGCTGGCCACAGTGACTCCACACTAAAATGCCATCAGAATTAAACCACATGAGTCCAGTGACCCAGAACATCTAATGTGACCAACATCCCCCATCACAGACACTGTTAGGAACAATTACAAAAGAATACATTACTGAACAGTCCCAGATCACAGCATGTGAATATAGAAGTGTGTGTGTGAGAGAGTGAGACTTCTAATTTGCATAATCACATTATATTTGTGAGAACAACATGAAAACATTCCGAGCCAAAGAAGGATCAGGGATCAGACTGATCACTCACCAGTCATCCTGTGAATTCAGCGCAGCAGTCGGACACCGGAGAGAACGAGAGGACAGAAGATAACTCTGGAGGGGAAGGGATCTGTTGGGCAGCTCTCAAAGCTCCATTTTTCCCTTTTCCGGCACTGAGCGCTTCCCTCTCCCTGCTTCTTTCTCTTGCTCGCTCAGCACTGAGCAGCCCAACCGCTGCCGGTTGTTTTCTGGGAAAGGCGGAGCGGAGAAAAATCTCTCTCTCCCCCCGTTCAGCCCTTTCTTTCACCCCCTCTCACTCCTTCTCTCTCTCTCTCTACTGCCCTCTTGTGCTCTCTCTGCTACTCATCCTTCCTCTCCTTACATATTTTTTCCACTGTCCTACTTCCTGTGCTCTCTGTATCTCTCTCTGTCTGGATCTGAGTTTGGATGTGCATGTGCTTGTATAAATGGCTTTACTCTCTACCGCAGACAAAAGCAGATATACACAAAAATGTGAATCTCATATGCATGTCTTTGTTAGTCAGATGACTCCCTTTCATCCCAAATCAATACTCACAGATGGCTGTGACAGAGTACACAGCATATAATCAACCAAAACAAAATTTTCTCCAATACTAAATAAAACAGGCAATTTTAGAAGCAGCCCTGGCTTTGTCAACAGTCATCTTCCAGACCTAAGCTCAGAAATCAGCATGTAAACAGTCTGAAATGTTCACAGCAGGTCTGAGCCTGCTTGTGATAAAGCTTTTTTAACTCTTAGCTAACAGTTGGGAGAATGAAAACTAAATATCATTTAAGGGTTAATGTCAGTAGGACTTTTATAAAAATTTTTTTAAAGAAGTCTCTTGTTGTTCAAAAATAGTCTAAAGCATTAATCCCCATTTGAATATATTTTAAAATGCAATTTATTCCTGATGGCAAAGCTGAATTTTCAACAGTCATTACTTCAGTCTTCAGTGTCACATGATCCTTATGAAATCTTTTTTAGATGCTAATTTAGCGCATTAATTTAGCTCAAGGAACATTTCTCATTACTATCATTACTGAAAACAGCTGTGCTGCTATATTTTTTATGGAAACTATTATAAAGTAATGGTAAAAGTATTATTTGAAACAGAAAGCTTTAACATTAAAATGTTTTTACTGTTACTTTTGATCAATTTGTTTTGCATTCTTGCTTAATAAATGTATTCATTTCTTACTGACTGAAAACTTTTGAATGGTAGTGTAGTCTATATGGAACACAGAGGTACACAAAATTACAATGCAGACTTTTAAATACTGTAAAATTTAATTTAAAACATAGTTATAATTTATCATTTAAAGAGCTATGTTTAAAGTTAAAACCAATCAGTAAGAACTATTTTTGCATTTGGAGTTTTTGAACAAATCATTAGGGTAAATGATTCAATGACTTACTCAAATAGAGTGGGGGAACCATGACGTCAGAACCACAAAAAGAGTAATTCGCCGCGGGCTCCTTCAAGATTTTCCTATGGGGTTTTATAATGAGGTTTTTCAATTTATGAGTAAAATAAAGCCTGTGGTAAACATAACTTGACGATACTTTTACGTTTTGTTGTACAACGTAAATTACACATCCATACCCAAAGCACAAATTTTGAAGCAATTATGTTCATTTTTAAAAGCGTATGCTTTTAATAAGTAAATAGATAAGAACTTTTGGGCTGTGAGTGTGTGCAGTTTACATTGTAGAACAAAACATAAAAGTATCGTCAAGTTATGTTTACCACAGGCTTTATTTTACGCATAAATTATTATAAATGAAGTCATAGTATAAATTAATAAATGAAGTCATAGTTCCCTCATGCTATAATTTCACTTGTGTCATTTCTGAATGAATCAATATTTTGAACATTGGTTTGTTTGAGCGAATGACTCAATGGTTAACTTACTGCCACCTACTGGCATAACACTGTAACCTACAGAAAAATCCCCACCAAACACAGACCGAGATCTATCTGAATCATGCAAACACAGACAAGCGAAGTGATACACAAAGTGAAAACTCCCAGTGCTGCTAGCCAATCAAATTCAAGGAAAAGAACTAACTCTTGTCTAACCATTCAAGTGTTAAGAAGAATTGTTCACTCAAATAGCTACAATAAATAGTTATTATAATTTAATAATAACTATTTGTTGTAGCCATTTGAGTATGCTACTGTAAATCACTGTAACAACTCAAATTTATCTAATGCATTATGAATGCGTGAAAACAGGAGGCAGTCTCAAAAACATCTTCAGTGATTTAAAACAGTATTATTGCCTGCACATTCAATAAAGACAGCCAATTTTGTTTTGTCCAAGCAGACCCAACGACAGTCTTTGAGGCCTTATTAAAATCACTCATCACAAAACATACATATTGAGCTTGACAGTTTGATTAAAAGTGGCTCTAGTTCAATCTTCATACTTCAGTCTTTCCTTAGGAATTAGTTCCTTTTTTACCAAATGAAATTTACTGAGCAATAAAGCAACGCTGAGATTTTTTTTTTTTCTCGATATGACAGTTTCCTTGACAACATCGCCTCTTTCCTGCTCAAGAGGGTGAGAAACTAAGGATACGTGAGAGAACAATAAAACAAGCGTAGGAAAAACTGACTCAAATGTTCAAATGCTTTTAATTTAGATTTGACCCTGTAAAGTCATTAGAATCTATTAGCGCCATCTGAGAACATCAAATAAAAAGGAACTTTATTAAAGTCTGTTTGTGTCTATGACACGAGTTGTGCGAATGTGAATGTGTGTGTGCTTCAAGAGAAAAAATGTTTTGCTTCAATTCTGTCCACATGTCTATTTGTGGCACTCTTTATTATTTAAACATATGCTAAGTTAAGTTATCATTGTAATTTTGGCTGTTAAAGTTAACATATCATGGAAAATAAGAAGAATAAAAATAATTTTGTGTACTATATGCAGATATAGATATACGATAACTCTGACAACACAGTTCATTCCTTAGTCCATCCTCCACAAATAATTTCTGAAAACTAAACTGCAAACACACACTATTAAAACAATCATTGTGGTTATGACATCACAACCATGAGCATATGATTATAATAACATATTATTGCCTCTTCGATATTCAACATTCTGCAGGTCAATAGGCAATCATAACAGATGTCATTTACACATAAAAAATAAAAATGGTACGGAAGCAAATAAATAAATTATTTCTAAGGTCAGACAGTGGGTAGAAAATCGTCATATAAAACTAAAGACTAAAAACTATGAAATTAAAGTAGACATAACAGATTAATGGTCCCTCATAAAGGGGTCATATGACGTTGCTAAAAAGAACATTATTTTGTGTATTTGGTGTAATGAAATGTGTTTATGCGGTTTAAGGTTAAAAAAACACATTATTTTCCACATAATGTACATTATTGTTTCTCCTCTATGCCCCGCCTTTCTGAAACGCCTTTCGATTTTTACAAAGCTCATCGGTCTGAAAAAGCGAGGTGTGCTGCAGCGGCGGCAACAATACTACAGCGAGAATCAAAGTTACGCATTCTTTCTTAGCGTGAACATTTGGGCAGCGTTATGCAAATCTTCCCACATCGTTTACGTAGACATGTGGGGGCGTGTTAGAATGAGCCGTTTTAGATAGGCGTGGTTGATTCTTAACTTTTATAAAGAATATCTCTTTGGATCTGAGACTTTAGTCTTTGCAACTTTACAGATCTTCTTTATGCACCAAGAGCTTGTAACACTCCAAAGAGAACGGAAAAATTGAAATCGCATCATATGACCCCTTTAAACAATCAACACTTAGTAGATACCCCCCAATAATGTCTATTTTTGATATTCATTTGATTTGTAATCCAGTTTACACACTAAGAACAATCCTTTTCTCCATCCACTGGAACAGAACAGCCTGGTTTATTGGTAAATGGTTCAACTTGTGGCAGGTATCATGTTTCCCAAGTCTCCTAAGTGCCATCTGTGCCAAGAGGACAAACAGCACAAACTAAATGTTTCATCGCATTATGGGTAAACATTATAAAGAAATAAAGAAAAGGTAAGCAAGAATTCAGAAATCAGTAAAACTAAACCTCACCTACTGTACATACTGGCTTTCTACAAAAATGCTACAGAGAAAACTGTGTGCATGTCGATACTGCATATAATAAATGTCCATTTAGATGTAACTGCCTTTGTATATGCATATCCCTTAATGTAAGTGCTTTCAAAAGAAGAGTCGATTTCTATTAACAGCTCTTGACTCTTTATAATAGAAGCCACAATCAGACTGTCTGGTAACGCAGGGTCATTTTCAGCCAAATGAATGTAATAATGCAGAGATACACACACAAACACTCAAGCACAGATCGTAAGCGGCACAAAAGTATGCTGCACTCACATCAGCCTGGGCATCGGGCACACAAACTCAACAAAAATCCATTTGGCCCCAAAGAAGTCCAGAGTACTCATCCCCTATCTGTACAAGCACAGCCATCCATAGTCTGCTCCAGCCAAGCCATGCTGAAAGCACAGACAATTACTACACTTAATCCAATCAAATGAGATGCTTTTGGGATTAGCAGCATCCGCACATATAATCTCATTTGTGTAAAGAATGGATGAGCAGCTCAGGCCGTGGGTTTGGAGCAGTGGCTGCTGTTAATGCTGCTGATATAAGGTAAAACGAGGGTTGTGACTGACTGGGAATTCTTAGGGTCTAAGCTAATGGCTAAAGCTAAACTGGGAAAACACTGCCAGCTAATGCCCAGATTAATGAGGGAATTGACGCTGAGCACAAATAAAGTACAAACTGGGGCTGATTGAGATCCACCAAAAAAATCTCTCTCTCTATATATGTCTATATATCCTCTCTCTCTATAGTTTAATATGGTTAATCAGCTGGCTTGTTGGGCTGAGGTCAACCAGGTAAAATAAATTATGATTGCTTTAAAACTGAATGGAATCCAGCTTTCCCAACAATGTAATTTATTGATATACTAATAAATGTGATATTTGATCAAATAAAAGTGTAAATAATATCATGCAGAATGACTGTAATGCCCAGGGGTGCACATAAGTGGTCCGCAGGTTCGCATGCGCGACCAAAATAAGAAATGCACTGTGTAAATGAGTTCAGAGCGCGCGTTTGCGTACCGACATGGGCTGTGTTTCCCAAAATCATCGTAAGCCAAAGTACATCGTAGACCCATTGCCACCTATGGAGCTACGATCAACTTAGGCTTACAATGCTTTTGGGAAACGCAGAATGCACAATTACCATTTTAGATCGGCAAACTATACTGTATAAGATTTCTATTCAAACTGAAAGCATAAATCTAGGCTAACGTTTTCAAAGCACAATGCAAAACTGTGACATTTCATTCACTGACGCTCTACAATCGGCAGCGCTAAACCCGGAAGCGCATATACTTACTTGCCGGCAACCCGCCAAAATAAAAGCCTGCTGATTTTAAGTTTGAAAATGAAAAATGAAAATAATTAAAATTAAAAATAATAATTAAGGTTCAAATTAAAATAATAA